TATAATGGTGGAATAAGTTCTTCGACCACGCGCCAACCTTCAGCTGCAATTTAGACATCATGATGAATCCTCCTCCACTGGGGGATGGCGGTGTCGGTGAAATGCACATCTCATGAAAGACAATACAATGACGCTAACATATACCTGAATACAAGCATGAAAGACAATACAATGACGCTAACATATACCTGAATACAAGCATGAAAGACAATACAATGACGCTAACATATACCTGAATACAAGCATGAAAGACAATACAATGACGCTAACATATACCTGAATACAAGCATGAAAGACAATACAATGACGCTAACATATACCTGAATACAAGCATGAAAGACAATACAATGACGCGAACATATACCTGAATACAAGCATGAAAGACAATACAATGACGCTAACATATACCTGAATACAAGCATGAAAGACAATACAATGACGCTAACATATACCTGAATACAAGCATGAAAGACAATACAATGACGCTAATATATACCTGAATACAAGCATGAAAGACAATACAATGACGCTAACATATACCCAAGCATGAAAGACAATAAATACAAGCATGAAAGACAATACAATGACGCTAACATATACCTGAATACAAGCATGAAAGACAATACAATGACGCGAACATATACCTGAATACAAGCATGAAAGACAATACAATGACGCTAACATATACCTGAATACAAGCATGAAAGACAATACAATGACGCTAACATATACCTGAATACAAGCATGAGACAATACAATGACGCTAACATATACCTGAATACAAGCATGAGAGACAATACAATGACGCTAACATATACCTGCATACAAGCATGAAGACAATACAATGACGCTAACATATACCTGAATACAAGCATGAAAGACAATACAATGACGCTAACATATACCTGAATACAAGCATGAAAGACAATACAATGACGCTAACATATATCTAAATGTAAGCATGAAGACAATACAATGACGCTAACATATACCTGCATACAAGCATGAAAGACAATACAATGACGCTAACATATACCTGAATACAAGCATGAAAGACAATACAATGACGCTAACATATATCTAAATACAAGCATGAAGACAATACAATGACGCTAACATATACCTGAATACAAGCATGAAAGACAATACAATGACGCGAACATATACCTGAATACAAGCATGAAAGACAATACAATGACGCTAACATATACCTGAATACAAGCATGAAAGACAATACAATGACGCTAACATATACCTGAATACAAGCATGAATGACAATACAATGACGCTAACATATACCTGAATACAAGCATGAGAGACAATACAATGACGCGAACATATACCTGCATACAAGCATGAAAGACAATACAATGACGCTAACATATACCTGAATACAAGCATGAAAGACAATACAATGACGCTAACATATACCTGAATACAAGCATGAAAGACAATACAATGACGCTAACATATACCTGAATACAAGCATGAAAGACAATACAATGACGCTAACATATACCTGAATACAAGCATGAAAGACAATACAATGACGCTAACATATACCTGAATACAAGCATGAAAGACAATACAATGACGCTAACATATACCTGAATACAAGCATGAAAGACAATACAATGACGATGACATACATCTTAATACAAGCAGGGGCGGTTGGGTAACCTACTGGTTAAAGCGTTCGCTCGTGACGCCGAAGACTGGGATCAATTCCCCACATGGCTACAGTGTGTGAAGCCCATTTCTGGGGTCATCCGCCGTGATATTGCTGTAATATTGCTAACAGCGGCGTAAGACAAGCTCACTCACACACTTAATGCAAGTGTAAAAGCAAATACAGTGATCGCTCACATGTATCTGAATACAAGTTTGAAAGCCAAATAACATGACGTCTACATGTGTCTGTAAGGAGGACAATGCTAAAATGAACAATTTGGGTCGCATGTCGGTAAGACAGAACCACGATGTCCACTTATCATCCGTGAGTCAGTGTGTCATGTGTTCATTAGTAGAATACACAACAGAGGAACAGGGCTGGGACAAACCAATCTATCACAGCCAGCTGCTGTCCAAAGTCTGACTGCCCTCCGTGTTAGGGTTGTAGTGGTCCTCACTGGCAAGGCCTAAAATACCGTTACATCTGAGCAGAACTACAATTAATGCTTGATCAAAGAACACTACAATTTATGTTTGATCAAAGAACATATTATAAGTGACCTATAAGGACAGTATGTTAACTGCATAAAGCCTTTGCCATTACTATCAACATCAACCTTACTTGACCTGCAGGGTATGTATTTCCTCTTTGTGATTTCAGTGCTGAATAAACATCAATGCACAGAGTTATATACAATATACTGCTGTGTTCAGCAAATGTACCACCAAATCTCCGCCTCAGACAGTGATTCTAACAATGAAGGAAGAACCTTATTCACAGAACTTATATTCGACAAGTGGTATTAATACTATGTGGATTTTCAAACACACAAAGAATTCTCCTGGATTGTCGCAATCTCCACAAAAGAACCTTTCGTGTCAAACCATTTCATTTTCAACTTAGTAATCGGTATCCTACACACAAAAATATTCACATGGGGCATTTATCCTTGAACCATAGGGTATTTATCACTAAACTTGTTGTCCATAGATATCGTCACATCTCAGTCTTCTAAAGTTCATGACAATTTGTCAAAATGGAAACCTCGTCTGAAGTTCATTGTGAAAATAATATGTGAAATTCGAGGATGAGATATTTTGGTAAGAAGTCGGCACCCCTACAGGGGGATTTGGCCAGGAAATATCGATGATCGGCTATAGTTCAATACCTTTCACTTATTTACCCACCTGAACAAGACGTGAAAGAGAACAGTGAAAACTTTCATTTTATAGCTATACATAAAGGTTCAGGGTAAAACATATACACCACAAGGCTGTATCATAACAGATTAACCTTGCCTTTAACTTCTTAAGATTATGGGGACTGTGTTGGTAATGTTTATTTAGAAACTGCATATCTCAGAGAACTAATATTGCCCTAGAGTTGGACCACATGGGTTCTCATATAAACATGGAATTTAGGCTATCTTGGGCTTCATCTGCACTGCATTATAATCATCGTTGACGATATTGCAAACGTAAACTACGTATGTGCCATCATATTACATGTTATGAGATTTTTCAATAATGTTTGTTTCATTGTTCACACTATAGAAAGAGAATATTACATTAATATCATATCTCTACTTGCAAAAGAATACCATCCAGTATTTCAACTAACGAGAGTTGATTGTCGCTGTGTTGTATGTAATATCGCGCTTAATCGATTAGTTACAGACCGCCGCCATATAGCTTGAATATTGCTGAGTGCGGCGTAAAAATAAGCTCACTCACTCCAAGATCATCATACCGAGTGCTTTTTAACTGTGATTACAGTTCTGCATGTACATTAAGAACCTTCCTTAGGTAGAAGATTCAGGTGAGTGTTAACCTGTTCTATAATCCCGAAAAAAACACAACCCGTTTCCATGGAAATACATGCCAATTTTATACTAGTTTCCACTCTTTCAAATGTTTTTTTTCTCTACCAAAGACAAAGGACTGCTGTTAATTTGCTTGGCACTTCTCCCAAACCAAAGTAAGACAACGTTTGGTTGTGATGAAATGAAAATGAGAAAGAGACAACTGTGTCGTCTGAAAACAGTAAGGCGTGGAACTTTAATCAAGAAATAAGTACATGTTCATTATCAGAACATTAAATTGACCCTTTACATCGTTTGTTGACGGGTAACTCTCAATATCATATCCTAAATGAAAATGGAGAGGTGTCAAGCTTTCCCCTTGATGTACACCTGCAATGATAGTTGTAAAAAATGAGTTTGCTTGATTTTGTAGTTTATACATGTCCTTCACTACGGTACGAAATTTTCATTAAAACAATTGTGCTTAAATGTTTGTTTTGTTTGTTTTTGTTTGGCTTTGACACATAAGTATTTGGGAGAGCATATGCAGTATTCAAACGCATTCTACAGCAGGGAAGTTCTCATTGAATTGGACCAGCGCTAGACTTAAAAATGATAATTATTTCAAGGAAAGTAGCCAAGACTCACTTAATTGCAATTGTGCTTATGTCATGAACAGCTGCATTGTGCTGCATCATCACGTTTGAGTTGACATATAAATGAAATATTGTTTACGATATAATTATCACTGGGACTGAATTTTAGTAATCGGGGTTTTGACAAACTGTCAAATGAGTGCATTAAAATTGAGCAGAGAAACGCAACCCCCTCCCTCCTCCCCCGTCACAAAATCGACGCAACCACCTCTCACTGGATAAGTATGCTCAACATCGACTCGCCAGATAACGTTTTGACAAAGTATTAACCTCCTGAGACAGTATAACTCTAATTCACCTGCATATTTATAAATCTAAAAATAGCAAACATTACTGAGATGACTGTGGCGGACGTTCATTGTCAAACTCACAAACAGGATTCGCCGAAGTCACGTGACACGAGCAGACGACAACAGATTTGTTGTAATCAGCCGAGAAAAATATCGCTGCCGTTCCGTGACCGAAACACCGACAGATGCGATGACTCCATGCATTTAGGATTTACTGTATCCACTGAATACGAAATCACTATAGTTCCTGCTACTGTGACTATAAATATTCAGCATTATAAACATCGATTGCGGAGACGTGGCGGGTGAGAAACACCGAAGCGAGTGGCTAAACGTCGGCTTCGTCTTCACCGGACCGTATCGCTGTTGTGTGATTTTCGACCTTTGCCCTATGTTGGAAAGGAAACAAGCTGTGTTTGCTGGTAAACCTGGGAGGTACTCTTGATGCGACTGTGTCAGTGGTTCAGTGGATCTCTACCAGCCGGACATTGACCTGGTACCGTAACGAATGTGGCCTGATATCGCGTCAGTGTTGACGTATCGGAATAGATAACAGTGTTATTCTATCGTCGTTTTCGGAGAACATGGCGAACTTCGACGATATTTTACGACATCTTGGGGAGTTCGGCAGGTACCAGAAATGGGTGTACTTCCTGTTGTGCCTCCCAGCTATTCCCCATGGGGTCCGGATGATGATCAATGTTTACCTTCTCAATGTCCCCGACCACAGGTAAGGGGTTTTCTCAAAGACAAATATAATCGTGTATGTTTATAACAGTGAATTCCACCTTGTATTCATTTGAAAGTATCAGTTTCTACGTACATCATAGTTGTATACATGTCAAGCTCGGGTTCATCATCTTGGAAAAAATGGTAAGCCTAACATTGCAATGGCGTATGGGAACGTACGTACGTATGGCAACGTACGTAGCCGTTTTCACATTTATTAAGAAATTAAAGATATCTTCAATTGTTTTCAAGATATCTTGAATGAAAATAGAGATATCTAGAATTGAATTGATGATATCTTGAACTGAATTAAAGATATATCGAATAGAGAAAATTATAGATATCTGCAAAAAAAACACTTGATATCGCGAAATGAATTAGGATATGATGGAGCATATTAATGATATCTTGAAAAACATTCCTAATATCTTGATTTGAATTATACTTTTGTAGATATCTTGAAATGAATTAAAGATATCTCAAAAAGAGATGGTGTTATGAGAAATTACTGATATCTTAAATTGTTTTAAAGATATCTTGAATTGAATTTTAGATATCTTGAATTGAATTTTAGATATCTTGAATTGAATTAGAGATATCTTGAAATGGATTAAAGATATTTTGAATAGCAACGATTTACAGATATCTTCAAATACATCTACACTGTAGATATCGAAGCGCAGAATAATGCTCAACTTCAAGGATTGTAACGTTTAGTTTAAATATATTCTTTGGGGTCTGGGGGACAGCCCACTCCCCTCCCCACAAAGTATGCGAGAATATTACAAAATACATTTGCACCAACATGAACCCTACCACCTGCAAATTTTGTATAGTTTCTTATTTCCCTTCTGTTCATATTTGCGAAGGAAACAATTCGGGACAATCCTACACAACGTGTTGAATGCTACATCAGTGTAGATATTTCAGTTTTATAATAATCAAATCCTGTTCCGGACGTGTGTCATTCGTGTCGGCAAATACTTCCCGGTCTCCGATTTTGTTATAATCCACGATGGCTATTCTTAAATAGAAATCACTCTCCTTGTTAGAGTGACAATAGGTCCTTTGGTTAGGTTGGTTGGTTGGTTGGTTGTTTAATGCCGCACTCAACAGTATTCCAGCTATATGGCGGCGGTCTGTAAATAATCTCAAGTCTGGACCAGACAATCCAGTGATCAACAACATGAGCATCAATCTGCGCAATTGGGATACGATGACATGTGCTAACCAAGTCAGCGAGCCTGACCACCCGATCCCTTCACGGGTCCCTTCGGTAAGGGGGCGGTTGGGTAGTAAGAAATTCAATTCCACACATGGGCACAATATTTGAAGCTCATTTCTGGTGTTCCCTGCCGTGATATTGCTGGAATTTCGCTAAAAGCGGCGTAAAATCAAACTCACTCACGCGTCAAGTGAAAGTTTGGTCACACATTGGTCTTAAATCGGATAACTCCATGTATGATAAATCATATAGTGTTATCAATGCGACAAACCAATCCCATGAGCTTTCTATCAAGATAACCTAATTCACGACGATCCGATAAAAAGGCAAATAAGTCACCTCGTCATTTTCTGTAGAAAGCCTTACACACTGACGGAATTCCAACCTGTACGAACGTCTACCGCTTAACATTGTAAAATGTAGGGGTGGTGGAGTAGCCTAGTGGTTAAGCGTTCGCTCGTCACGTCGAAGACCCGGGTTCGATTCCCCACATGGGTACATCGTGTGAAGCCCATTTCTGGTTTCCTAACCCAAGCGAGCTTTCCCTATCTCTCTAAAAAGGTTCACATTCCAATGAACACGTACGAGGGATTAAGCCATTTCAAGCGTGAAATATACGGGCGGCTCAGTCTGCGTTGTATTCCAAAGCTGCTTCTAAAGACGCTATTGTGAATGAAGCATGTCTCGTAAGTATCACATATAGAAATAACAACTTGAAGTTATTTTTCTACAGACACTTCCATGTCCAATACATAATATTTACAATACGAAAACTCTTGACTTAATATCTCCATATATTTTATTGCCCTCAGGCCAAGGGACCATTGTATGTGTAATTTTCATATTGAGCATTGGAAGAAAAGCTAAGCAAGATATGATAAAATCGTTGTAAGCAGATGTTACCTATAGACATTCATGTATACATATACCTGTACATACTGACCCATATAGAACTTACCTGTGTAGCTATGAATATTTTCTGTTATTAGTCAATGTCTGGTTCATATGTGCGAATGAATAATAATCATTCGTGCATATGGAAGTTATATACCTCAGATAATTATATACTGATGTACAAATGAAAGTACACACCTGGTGTTTTGAGACTATTCAAACAACGTAAATATTTTGCTAGCAATGTTCCAATTGGGTACGATATCTATGGTGTTATTGCAACACGTACACAATGTTTGTGACTTGTGAGTCGAAATCATAACACTTTTCTAAATATTACGCTGTTTTCAGGAAAACATTTTACCAAAGCATCAGGTGTGTACTTTCTTTTGTACGTCAGTTTATTTTGTTTGTTTTTGTGTGTGGGTAGGCATCCATTTCCCCTCCTCTTGATGAAAACAGAATAACATTATCTGACGCATGACATAGAAATAACCACAAGGGTTCGAATCACTATTTGGACAAGAATTTCTGAAAATTAAAATCTTGACTTTTGCAATCATATATTGTTTTTTATATGCTATGGTTAACATATGTTTCAAATTTGAACGAAATCGGCGAAGAAATAAATATTTTAGAAAAGTGCAGAGGTAGAATTTTGCCCAAAGAGTGAATCGAACCCCTGTGGAAACAACCCTGTTTCCGAAGTATCTGAAAGAAAATAGTTTGTCTGTACGTTTTGCAAACACATTTTGAAATCTTATTGCAGTCAAAAACTCTTTTGAATACTGCCTGTAAATAGATTCCGTCTCATGCATACATGTCGATCGGTTATGTTTCCAGAGTTAATTGGATAGCACAGATGTGGTGGCTCTTCTCCCAGATACATCTCTCCATGCCACACTTTGCGTATATTACTAAATGTATAAAACACTAGGCGCACACTGCATATTCTATCATCAGACCCCGTCAACTAAACTGCATGGCAACAGAAGTTTTATACTTCAACATTAGATCTTTCCAAGTAATTACAAATGATATGAAAACATTACCAGCAACACCATGAGTCGCCGAAACCTGTATCAAATGCCTCACACTTGAATTCCTATACAGTTTCCGGTTTGTATTTAGCCCCAATCAAACACGGATGGAGAGTTTCTTTGCTCGGCAGTACATGAGGCTTGACCGTCACGACTGATAGGACAGGCCTTTAATGGGGTACGGATGGCTATTATTCCAACCCCCAAAGAAAGAGAGCTTGAGATGTATAGGTGCATACAAATACCTGAGTTGTTATGCAACAGCTGCGTTCCTCAAAACATGTCACCTGTTGCAGACCACCTGTGCATGTTTGCAGTGACTAACTACCACGTGATATCTATATGAGACCATTGTATACACACATGACTGACTGAGTTTTGGTTTTACGCCGCTTTTAGCAATATTCCAGCAACATCACGGCGGGGGACACCAGAAATGGGCTTCACACATTGTACCCATGTGGGGATTCGAACCCGGGTCTTCGGCGTGACGAGCCAACGCTTTAACCATTAGGCTTCCCCACCGCCCCCTATACACACATGAAGAGGTCCCCCTACTCTCAGGACAAACAGCGCGTTGTTTATCGCCTCGTCAGTCCGTCCAGATTTGACGATCAAAGATCAAAGGTCCAGATCAAAGAAGGGGACCCTTCATTAAATCAAGCTACTGAGTTTGATCTTTTATTACATTGCAACATTTTAAGAGATGAGATGTGTTGATGGAAAAAGTGGTTTTACTTCATTAGTCGCCAATGGGCCCGTGGTGCTCCACATAACCTCACTATCATGCATACATATACATATAGATCTTATTTTGCATTCTAATGAGACATCTACATGCGAGAAGGTAGACATGCGTTGTGCCTGGGATATGGTGAACATCAGTTCTGTAACCCCTTGTCCAGAGAAGACTATTGCAGGATGTTTAACGATCACAAAGAATTTACTTATAACATACTACTGAAATGGTATAACATGTAATTGTACCCTCCAGATACATTTTTCGGCTTGAGTGAGTGAGTGAGTTGAGTTTTACGCCGCTGTTAGCAATATTACAGCAATATCACGGCGGGGGACACCAGAAATGGGCTTCACACATCGTACCCATGTGGGGAATCGAACTTTGGTCTTCGGCGTGACGGGCGAACGCGAACCACTAGGCTACCCCACCGCCCTAAAACTGTACTGCCTAGAAGCTTTACTGAGGTCTTGTAGTCCGTATACATGATCAAACAGCATTTTGAGCAAAAATCTTTTGTAGCTCTTATGTCCATGGTGTGTTGGATTGTATCTCTAAGTTGTGAAATGTAGACGCCAAAGGCTTCGGTTACTGGAACATTGCTCTCAAAAGGGAATGTTGTCTCACAGTCGTGTTTTGTCACCCTGAATCTCTATCTAAACATGAACTGATCAATCACTTAATAATAATGGACATGCATGAAGCGTCTGTATCCACGCACTTGTGCATGCTCAAGGCCCTAACTTTACCCAAGCTGCTAGTGAGGTGCTACAAGGTTAAGAGTCATATGACTTATCCCATCGGGTACCAATTCACCGCTTGGTGAACAGAGGCAATTTTGAACAAACTCGCTTTTGTGACAATGAGGTAGTGTACTTGCTAAATTGGTCGATTGTCATATGGAAGTTGTGATACTGGAAGTCCATTTCTGGTGTCCCTGCCCCTGTGATATTGTTGAAATATAGCTAAAAGCTGCGTAAAATGCACTCACTCACTCATTTCAGTTAACTCACGACTCATAAATTTAGACTCGGAGTAGGCATTTTTCTGTCCACACAATTTCATGATTTTCACAGGGAACGTGTGGAAAGTTCGGTTAAGGCGCTGCAGTTAGTGATGAAGAGATGTATACCACTATCCAATGATGGAATGTTGAACCTCAGGTTCGAAAGCTGCATTAAACCCAACTAACTCATTCTCGTTTAAATGTTCGAACTTCAGGTTCGAAAACAGTGTCAAACCCAATACATTTTTTATCAAATGTTCGAACTTCAGGTTCGAAAACAGTGTCAAACCTAATACATTTTTTATCAAATGTTCGAACTTCAGGTTCGAAAACAGTGTCAAACCCAACACATTTTTTATCAAATGTTCGAACTTCAGGTTCGAAAACTGTTAACCTGGACTACTCAGGCTTGGTCGAATGTTCGAACCTCAGGGTCGAAAGCTCTGTTAGAACCATAAAAAATCTCACTCTTGATCAAATGGTCTAACTTCAGGTTCGAAAGCTGTGTTAGACCCGACAAAGTCTCCCTTGATCAAATGTTCGAAAGCTGTGTTAGACCCGACAAAGTCTCCCTTGATCAAATGTTTGAAAGCTGTGTTAGACCCAACAAAGTCCCCCTTGATCAAATGTTTGAAAGCTGTGTTAGACCCAACAAAGTCCCCCTTGATCAAATGTTTCAAAGCTGTGTTAGACCCAACAAAGTCTCCCTTGATCAAATGTTTGAAAGCTGTGTTAGACCCGACAAAGTCTCCCTTGATCAAATGTTTCAAAGCTGTGTTAGACCCGACAAAGTCTCCCTTGGTCAAATGTTTGAAAGCTGTGTTAGACCCAACAAAGTCCCCCTTGATCAAATGTTTGAAAGCTGTGTTAGACCCAACAAAGTCTCCCTTGATCAAATGTTTGAAAGCTGTGTTAGACCCAACAAAGTCTCCCTTGATCAAATGTTTGAAAGCTGTGTTAGACCCAACAAAGTCTCCCTTGATCAAATGTTCGAACTTTAGGTTCGAAAGCTTTCTGTTGATTTAGAAGATTTGATTTATCCCTTGAATATCTTGAACAAAAAGTTGAGAATTATCATAATTATTCCAGATGCGCGATCCCCGGCTACAACAACGACACGTACGCTGTGCAGTCAAAGTACCACGCCGAGCTCATCAACAAGACCATTCCCTTTGTGGAACGTAACGGGAAGCTCCAGTATGACCAGTGTCACTTGTACTTCTCCAGCCCAGGATCCTCCAACAGGACCATCATAGGGTGCAACAGATGGGTGTACGACAAGTCCGTGTTCCAGTCAACCGCTGCCACAGAGGTAAGCCCTGCGTATGACTGTGACGCTGTAACCTGCAACCAAGTTACATTCGCCTCGTTACAGCGTTGGAGGGTTTGTGTAATGGGATAAGGCATTCCTGTAAGACTGAACCCCATGCTGGTTATTAAAGCCAACCCAGATCGATGGTTACGATCGGTGACCAGGCCCCGTTTTACAAAGCTATCGAAGCGCTGCGACTGTCGTACCTCCTATACTGTCACATAGACTTACGACAGTCGTAGCGCTACGATAGCTTTGTGAAACGGGGCCCTGTCTGATTGTGCCCTTTGTGACCAACTGGACAGATCTCTGTCAACCATTGGTTTGCCCTGCCATTAAGAGGCACTAGTAACTACTTAAATGCTGCTGAATTTTGGTTAAAAGCTGAATTTACTTCTTCTCGTTTTCTCTCTTTGTAATGGGGCGGTGGGGTAGCCTAGTGGTTAAAGCGTTCGCTCGTCACGCTGAAGACCCGGGTTCGATTCCCCAAATGGGTACAAAGCCCATTTCTGGTGTCCCTGCCGTGATATTACTGGAATATTGCTAAAAGCGGTGTAAAACTAAACTCACTCACTCTATTTGTATTGAACTACATCAACCATAGAATTGGTCTTACCTGTGCTTGTCGTAAGAGGCGACTAACAGGATCGAGTGGTCAGGCTCGCTGACTTCGTTGACACATGTCATCGTATCCCAATTGCGCAGATCAATGCTTATGCTGTTGATCACTGGATTGTCTGGTCCAGACTCAATTATGTACCGACCGCCGCCAGAGAGGTGGAATATTGCTGAGTGGGGGGTTTAACATACAAACCATGAAACAACCTTTAATGAGTATAATCCCTCCACTAGAACCATTGTTTCCCTACAGCTCAACATGGTCTGCAGAAACGACATACAGCCTTCCAACGCACAGATGATCTTCATGGGGGGATATTTTGCGGGAGCATTTATATTCGGTGCCCTGGGAGACAGGTAATTAATTCGTAGTTTCACAGGTAAATAATTCCGACATGGCAAAATGTGGCTTCTGTTTCCGCCTCATGACAAATTTTCATGAGATGAATGACCATTTAATGTCCTACACGGCGGCGAACGAACAAACTAGGTTGCATCACTGGTTGCACCTGGTTCAAAATATGGAACAGAAGTAAATTTTAATATAACTACGAAGTAGATATATTGTGGATGTTTCTTAACCCATTTACTGTTAAACAACTTTCAAATTCATTACCGATATCGTTATTGAATCAAATCACCTAAAGAAGTGGAAGAAGCCGCCCAGAATCGTTGTGTTATACAATACAGAAGAAGTCGCCATCCATACACTCGTCTTATATATTCACCAACTTCTAAATATCTCTCAAGAATCTGATTTCGTTAGTATAGCCAATCGACCAGAATAGGAAGAAATACCTATTCGAACCTATTTTTTACACTTAATATCCATTAGTTTTATTTCGGCAACCGGCCGCATGGTTTTGGTAAAAAAAATATACCAAGGAATGGAAATAGAATGTCCATGGTGTTTCTCTTCCTCGCGTGAACTAATGTCGACTTCATTAGTTCACTGACTGTCATTCAATCTTTGTCCCCAGGTTCGGGCGACGGAAAGCACTGTTCCTGTCTATTGTGATACTGTTTGCTGGTGGTCTTGCTCTGAACTGGGCTAACAGCTACGCCCTCTTTGTTGTATTCCGCTTCATCAACGGCGCCAGTACTGCGGGGATGTTCACAACGTGCTTCGTGATTGGTATGTTCTGCTTTACTAGCCGTGCTTGCAACCCGTGAAGATCCGGGTTAGAATTGATCTTCATTAACCCATGCTTGTCGTGAGAGGCGACGAACAGGATCGGGTGGTCAGGCTCGCTGACTTGGTTGACACATGTCATCGTATCTCAATTGTATAGATCGATGCTCATGCTGTAGATCACTGGATTGTCTGGTCCAGATTCGATTATTTCCAGACCGCCACCATATAGCTGGAATATTGCTGAGTGCGGCGTAAAACTAACTCACTCCAATGCTTTAAAAAACTGGTCGAAAGAGACCAAAATCACAGCATAAGAGTCCTGAATGGTGCGGACTGTGAGCGCAAGTAGCTCCTTCTCTACAGTTGGTTTTCAGAGACGCAACAAAACATCTGAATACGAACAATTGGTCCTGTGTCTTATGCTTGCAACCGTTTGGGTGAGTATATGAATTTACGCCGCTTTTAGCAATATTCCAGCAACATCACCGTGGGGGACACCAGAAATGGGCTTCACACATTGTGGGCAATCGAACCCGGGCCTCCAGCGTGACGAGCGAACGCTTTAACCACAAGGCTACCCCTCTGCCCCTATAGGCATGTCCATGTTGGACATTAACCCCTATATCTGTCCCTGTTTATTTTGTAGGGATGGAATTTGTTGGTCCTTCCAAACGAGTGTGGGCCGGCATCATCAGCGGCTTCTTCTTCACCAGTGGCTACCTCTTCTTAACCGGAGTTGCCTTCTTCATCCGAGACTGGCACACTCTGGAGCTGGTCATGGCGACGCCTGTGGCAGTCTTCCTGATATACTGGTGGTAGGTTGGCTTTACATGCAAATGTCCTTACATTAATGCCGCATGAAAGTGATTTGAGTTACATCAAGGCTTCTGGTCTTCAAATGGACAACGCCCAACGTAATGCAGATCTTACATATGAACCACTTTGACGAAACAAACGAGTGTATTGGTTTAGCTACTGGCCGCAAGGTCACTGATCACTTAGGGCTTTGCATTCTCTTCCCACAGAGGTTTCTTGTCATATCTTCCTACTGCCCTCTGTTCTAATACGGCCCTTTCATGGTGCGAGTGTTCAGGATTCGTGATTGGTTGCAATCAGATTTAGTTGTGCAATCAGTGACGTTGTTTCAAAAGTGATCATTCGCAAGGCCTCGGCAATTTCTGTATGCTTCGGGAAAACTAGAACCTCTTCCCCTGCGCGATGCGCAAACGTGTCTTCTAGACAGAACTCAGTCATGTAATGCCGGATCAATGGCGTCTCCATCGCCCTCGTTGACAACGGACAAGCTTGCCATTAAATGTCTTGTGTGTCACATCAACACAAGTCCTCGGCAGAGAAGATGGATATTTGTGGCCCCATTTTTACTTGCATTAGTCAAGTTGGATCTAATTCGATGTAACACGTGTTCTGTTTGGATAGAAAAAAGGGAGATAATTCGTGTTGCGACTTTTTTGCCACTAGGAGATTTTACGAGAACTAGAACAGAGGTTCGTAGGAAGATATGACAAGTAACCTCTGTAGGAAGAGAATGAGGGCTTTGTGGTATTGGTGACAAAGAGGGATATGGGAACCACGTAGCCTTTGAAGACTTGGCAAAAATAAGGATGCGAGCCCAAGTGAATAATGTCGTTACAAACTTTCAGCCAAACCTCGTCCTTTTGTGTTCTATGTTTTCCTTGTTTAACAACGATTATTGTTAATTTGGTTTATTTAGCTTGTTTTAACATAAGTGAATGTGATTTGGTATTATATTATAGATGCAAACTTTATAATCCCTAATGTAAACCTAAAATCTGTACTTCGATCAGGATAATCCCCGAGTCGCCAAGATGGCTGCTCAACGTCTTCCGGTTGGAGGAAGCGGAAATGATTATACGTCATGCTGCACGTGTCAACAAGGTCACAATACCCGACAGTGCTCTGCAGTTCGAAAAAGAAGACATGGATGCCAAACTGAAAATGCCCAAGACCAGCATCTTTCAGTTATTCACACACAGAACTTTATTATTCAGAACAATCGTTCTCTTTTACTCCTGGTAAGAAGTTCCATAATTTTCAGTCATTGATTAGATTGGATGAACACCTCTTTATAGAAGTAATATTATGGCACTACAATATATTAACGCTCGTCATACGGTAGGCGAATCTGGCGATTCTACGAGTGAGAACAGTATTTTAGTTATATCAAGGCATGTCAGCTAACTATGGGAGGAAATCCCAACGTCATGCAGATCTTTTAGACGCCCACAATCAATGGCATTAAAAGTCTTTGATCAGATTCCATACGTTTCTGGCGCATTAAGATTTGGGACACAACTCCTCTCAGAGAACGGTTCACCTGTGCCTCCCTAACCCACGAAGTGCCCCCTTTGAAACATCGATTGGTTGTCATTTAACGCCGCACTCAGCAGTATTCCAGCTATATAGCGGTGGTCTGTAAATAATCGAGTCTGGACAAGACAATCAAGTGATTAACAGCATGAGCATCAATCTACGCAAATGGGATACGATGACGTGTCAACCAAGTCGGCGAGCCTGACCACCTGATCCCGTTAGTCGCCTCTTACGACAATTCTTACCCGGATCTTCACGGGTCTGTTTTGAAACAACGTTCTTTGTGTCCTGAGTCACGATAGGTGGGTCCGGCAAGATTGCGTTGTTGTATTATCTCTGGACTTTAAGAATCCACCAACCACGAAAGGGGTCCGTTGCCAATTAAATACTGAATAATTAAATTGTATGAAAGCTTATTGTATTGAAATATATACTGAGTCAAAAGAAACTTCACATTCTTTCTTCAGGGCACTATAAAGAACAAGAAATGGTAAGATGGTTAAATTGTTATTATTTCATTGCTGAGGTCTGTGTGATGTACTCGATACACTGACAGTGCCATAATCAGTTCCATTAGGCTACACCGCCGTTCCAAAACATGGGTATACAGAATGTCAAGTCACAAGAATAAAAATGCGAAATTTCTCAGTTCAATATCGTGTATGGCCGCCCCGCGCATTCACCACTGCCAAACACCGTCTCCTCATCGACTGCCTGATGCTTGTGAACACATGGTTGGGGATTCTGCGCCATTGCTCTTGCAAGGCAGCGCAAATTCTGAGGTTGGTTCCTAAGACCACGAAGCCTTCTCCCAAGTGCATCCCAAACGTGCTCTATTGGATTAAGGTCAGGGGACCTCGATGGCAAGTCCATGACGTTGATTCCAGCGTTTTGAAGGAAATTTCGTGTCAACATCGCGGTATGCGGCCGAGCATTATCATGCTGGAACTGTAGACCTGGGCAATGAGCCGCCATGAAAGGAACGAGTTCAGGGGTGAGCACCTGGTCGCGGTAAGCAGCAGCTGTGAGGTTTCCACGGATGACCAGAAGACGGGAACGGTTGTTCCCACAGAAAGCACCCCACACCATGCAACTTCCGCCCCCGAATCTGTCGACTTCCTGTACACAACATTGGGCATACCGTTCACGACGTCGTCTCCAGACTCTATGCCTGCCGTCCGCGAATCTGAGGGTAAACCTGGATTCATCGCTAAAGACGACTCGATTCCAGTCTCGGAGGTGACGTTGGGCCCACAGCAGACGTTGACGTTGATGAAACGGCGTCAATATTGGCCCACGATATGGACGTCGAGAATGGAGATTGGCAGCCCGCAACCGATTTCGAATGGTCTGTGAGGACAGTCGACCTCTAAACATCTCAGCCCTGGTTCGTGTAGCCGGCAGAAATCTGTCACGTAGGTGACGTAGGACGATTTGACGGTCTTCTGCTCTTGACGTCACACGTGGACGACCCGACCTTGGGCGATCAGAAGTGGTGCCAGTTTGTTGTAGACGACCTCGCAAGTCATACACAGTACGACGGCTGCATCCCATTGCTCTTGCGACGTCAATAACTGATCTTCCCTCTTGCAACATGCCAACGGCACGTTCATATTGCACATTTGACAATCGTGGCATTTCAAGTACCGTTAGAACTGTGGTTTAAAGTGTTTTCAATTCTTGAGGCCAATGCAAACACTTGCATATGTAGAAAACTTCGATGCGAAGATCACGTGATCGACTGCACGTGCAAAACCTGATTTGGCACTAACGTCATTTGCACGACGAATGGATGGGTTTGAGTGGGTTTTGCTAACGTTTTCTAGAATCGAAGATAGGGATCCCATTTCGGATACATAGATGTATCATCAGAAAAATTATTCATTATTTTTCAAATTACATTTTGTGAAGTTTCTTATTGAAATATATAACTCGATAATCCGACAATGAAAATACTAAAAATTGGATCGAAATTGACACGTCTTGTATTATTTCGCTGTAGTTTGCCCTTTCAATATGAAAACAGTCAGGTTTGTAGGAAATGTAGATATTTGATGCTTGTCATCGTATCCCAGTTGCTTAGATCGGCGTTCATGATGTCAATCACAGAATTGTTCGGACACATGATCACCATTCACAAACCACCCTCATGTAGCTGAATATTGCTGAGTGCGGCGTTAACAAACAAACAAACAAACAATTAAACTTAATTTCGGTAATGGTTTGTTTCAGGATGGCAGTGAGTCTTGCCTACTTCGGTCTGTCGTCCAACACGGACAACCTTGGTGCCGGCAGCCTCCACCTCAACTCGATGTTGGCCTGTCTGGTGGAGTACCCAGCCAACATCATCTGTCTACTGCTCTTGAACAGAATCGGGAGGAAAGCACTGCTGTGTGCCTTCATGACGCTAGGGGGCGCTGCCTGTATACTTTCAGTCATCACTATTTTATATGTGGACGATGGTATGATTTTTTATTTTTGTTTCACACGGCATGTAAAGGTAGTGTTTTGTTGATTGGACCTATTTATTTCTAATAACGAAAACCTTAAAGGCACTATATCACACAACACCTTTCTAAAAAAAATAGTGCATTTCTCAAAATAATACTATCAGCCCCAGGGCAGCTACCATATAATATATATATTACAAAAATGAGATTACAATATTAAATTAAAATTTTCGAATGAATTATTGCAGCGTTGCATTAAATCGACGCTCGCGCCCTCTACCGGCCGAACATTATTTCAATGAGTGAGTGAGTTAAGTTTTAGGCCACACTCAGCAATATTCCAGCTATATGGCGGCGGTCTGTAAGTAATCTAGTCTGGACCAGACAATCCAGTGATCAACAGCATGAGCATCGACCTGCGCAATTGGGAACCGATGACATGTGTCAGCCAAGCCCGCGGGCCTGACCATCGGATCCCGTTAGTCGCCTCTAACGACAAGCATGGGTTACAGAAGGTTCATTCTAACCCGAATCCTCACCGGTGTTTCAAGCGAACCCCATAGACAGGCCTACCAAAGAAATCTTTCCCACTGTGCAGAAAAACGCTGAAAAGTCCACATTAATCGTGGAAATAGCAAACATAAACATAATACCTCGCTACTGAAACAGTAAAAACGGCCTCTTAAATCGCTAAAACTGTAATTTTTCGCGAAAAATATAGGCTAATATATTTTCGAAAATGTGTGACATTGTGCCTTTAAACAGCCTTAATGCCTTTAAAAATGTGGTTAGATGCTATATTTGGGATCACACTTTCTCAGTGAAGTACATAGTCTTGTACTTTTTGGGGTTGATCCCCATCCAAGTTATAACATACGGTTGTGTTAACCGGGTCCCTACGGATATAATGATACATTCTTAGCTCACCTGAAATGACTCCATATAGATACAAACCATATTTCCAATACAACAGAGACCAATTGAGCTAACCGTTGCACGGGGCAACACATTTTTTCCTCGTCTGTAAACAGAAAAGAAATATTCCTTGAATTCGTCACACATTGTTTCCACTATAGTAAAAATATCGATTTAATATATTCACGCGTTTTATTCCACAGCCAACCAGTGGAGCACAGTCACACTGTCAATGATTGGGAAGTTGTGTGTCGCGGGCGGATTCGGTGTGGTGTATGTGTACTCAACAGAGATCTTCCCGACTGTTGTACGGAGTTCAGCACTAGGCCTCAGCTCGTCTTTTGCCAGGATAGGCGGCATGTTGGCCCCTTACTTCATAGACCTGGTAAGTATGTGTGTGAGTGCGTGGGCGGGTGCGTGAATATGTTCCACACCCCGCTTCCCTCCCATCCCCGCGCACCACCACCACGCTGACGTCCTGTCACTGAAATATTGTTCTAATCAGAGTTAAACCCAAACAAGCATTCGGTTGTATGTTTGATGTTTAACGCCGTGCCGAGCAATATTCCTGTGATATCACCGTGGTCTATAAATACTCTAGTCTCTACCAGACAATCCAGTGATTGACATCACGAGCATCAGCCTGCACGTTTGAGAAACGATGACATGTCAACCAAGTCAGAGAGCTTGACCACCCGATACCGTTAGTCGCCTCTTACGACAAGCAGGGTAACTGGAGACAGCTTCCGACCCGGATCTTCATTGATCCATTCTGTTTGAAATAATGCATCCCGTAATTGTTACTTTCGCAAAGTTGCTTTTGAAGAGAAATTCACTTGCAAGAGTACAGTTTCTGATGAACGGTTTTGCGAGTGTGTTTACGATCGTTTTGTTACTCGATGTGATTCTCTGTCGCAGTTTGTTTGTGTCAGTGCAAGGACCCCGTTGATCCAGACATAATCTTCCATCATTGTGGTTTACCTTCCAGGGTAAAGAAGTGGAGGGGAAGTGGGGGCGGGCGTTACCTCTTCTTATGTTCGGAGTTCTGTGTGTTATGGCGGGTCTCCTCGATCTTACTCTACCAGAAACTCTCAACAGAGATCTGCCAGAGACTATAGAAGATGCCAGGAACTTCAGCAGGTTGGTGAATAACTAATCAACAATCATATATCCAGAACTACCACATGGGTGTCCAGTGGCAGCAGGATCAAGTACACATGATAGGAACGGGATCATATGATATCTATGAATGTATCATTTGTCAGAAATGAGTATTTGGCTATTTGTCATGCACCAATTCGCAATTTGCAATCGATACTCTTATCATGTATTTATATCTTCATGATGTTGAACGCAATACACATTACAACAGTCTCATTTCTGAATTGACCTTAAAAGTATACCTAACTCATACATGAGGCTTTTACAAAGCTTTACGAACATTCCATAAACAGTATCAAATTCCCGAAGATGTCCTTCATACGAGTGACTAGTGTATAGAGTGGTATGTAGTAAGTGAGTTATTTCAAATTTGTATTGTGACTTGGGATAAAGTGAGCGTTCGCTCATTACGCCGAAGACCCGGGTTCGATTCCCCACATAGGTACCATGTCTGAAGCCCATTTCTGTGTCCCCCGCCGTGATATTGCTGGAATGAGCGTCGTAAAACTAAACTCACTCACTACTCTGTCCTCACCAGCACGCACCCATCCCCACCCCTACCGAGTGAAGAGGCGAAAGGTGAATTTCTTACAGCTGAGAGTATATGTGTAAATTATACCTCGGACTTTATCCAGTCTATGGTTGAAATAATTAGATTAAATCGTTGAGGTATATCCATTGACTGGCGCAAGTCATTACGGGGCATGCCCATTCATATGGCTAAAACATGTCAGCTTAGTCGTCACTGAAAATAGGTGCCCTTGGTTGCAAGAATTTGTTGGGTCTTTTCAGTGAGTGAGTGAGTTTAGTTTTACGCCGCCTTTAGCAATATTCCAGCAATATCATGGCGGGGTCACCAGAAATGGGCTTCACACAATGTACCTATGTGGGGAATCGAACCCTGGTTTTGGGCGTGACGAGCGAACGCTTTAACCACTGGGCGACTCCACCGCCCCTCTTTTCAGTGACTATTCGTCATCTGCAACGCAAAGATTGTGTTTAGAACATTGAATCTGGCCTAGTGTTGATACCTCAACATTGAGGTCTTCTTGCTTGTAATATGTAATATGCTGGTGACGTGCACAAATTGTTTCAGGAAAAGTCCTGCCGGCTATTCCCGCCTGAAGAACGATGAAAAGACGGGTCAGAATCATGCAATGCAAGCCGGCCTCTCCTCTCCACCTAAGGACGGAGATGTGTCGTCACGGACAGTCCCATTTTGACGACATCAACAACGGGTTGACTTCCCATCTGATGAACAACGGTTACTGTGTAACTGCCGCCCAGACACGTTCCTACTTCGCTGACAATGTCTGGCTGGAAATGTGCTGCTGTCACGGCGAACTGTGGACAGGTGTCTCGCCAAACCGTAAACAACAGAAAATATTGTTACACTGCATTGGCATTAGTAAACACATACAGGGCAGTTGAATTATCATGAAACAAACACTGATTGGAATTGGACACATTATAACTTTTTTTCGAAGGACGAATCGCCTCTGTCAACCTCTCCTGCGTTGCTACCAACGATTGGAGGAGTGTATTGTAGGACATGTATAATCTGTGCATTTAGCCCTACTTGTGCATATCGTCAGGTACTGCATTTTTGCCATTTTCTACATTACCAGTATTTTCAACTGCGATCTCTAACACTCAGGGCAAACTGTGGACTGCTCAGATAGAATATGTGGTCAAGTGGACATGTGGCTGTGATTGATGAGTGCGGATGACATACGGATTCTATGGGTTTTATCATATTAATTATGTGTCTATTGATACAGCGAATGTAATTCGATGATCAGATCATTGAAACATATTTTATTGTCTTTGAGACAAATGTATCAAATACATTATCCTTGGATGAATGGACCCGTGAAGGTCCGGGTTAGAATTGATTTTCAGTAACCCATGCTTGTCGTAAGAGGCGACTAACGGGATCGGGTGGTCAGGCTCGCTGACTTGGTTGACACATGTCATCAGTTCCCAATTGTGCAGATCGATGCTCATGCTGTTGATCACTGGATTGTCTGGTCCAGACGCGATTATTTCCAGACCGCCGCCATATAGCTGGAATATTGCTGAGTGCGGAGTAAATCTAAACTCACTCATTCACTTGGATAATATACGTTTCATAAAAATGTATGGTGTGCACACATAGAGGACCATAAACCCACTATGCATCCTATCAACTCAGGTATATCTGCTCATGAAACTTACACAGTAGTGTAGGTTTCCGTGGCAATGAGGCTGCATACATAATGACAAACAAAATGCAACCAATTGCTTTTAATTAATGCATTATTACACAGTTTTATATGTGTTGTATTCTGTCATGTGATATTATTTATTATACTTATGTACATAGCCCCGCTCCCTTAAATATATGGACTTTGCCCCCAATGGTCAATCATTAGAATGGTTTGGAAGTTTTATAGGTTACTTAGATAGGTTCTTGAAGTTAGACAGTAAAACACTTCTAACTATGGGTGAAACGTGACGCTCTTACCAAGGTACGGTAAGTATTGCGGTACAAGGTCTTCTGGTCAGTATTAGATATGATCACACTGCAGAAAAATTGACAAGAGATAGATTCTGACAAAAAGATTCGTTTTCTAGAAAAGGTTTAAAAAGGGTTAATAAAATGACGGTACGAAAACACCGAATGTTTGGATTGCATTACGGTATACCGAACCGAAGGCAAAATACCGCGGTTCAACTAATACCGCGGAATACCGTTTCACCCCTACTACTAACACATATTATAGTTTTGTTTAGTTTACTTAGCTGTCATATATTTTCTCTACAAAAACGACGACCGGTAAAATGTAACCGACATCCAAAAGATTTATCAAACATCTGTCTGCTAGTAACTGTTGAACCATTTCCTGGAATACAGGGGTTCGAACCTTCTCTATTTCTATGGTATTATGTAACGAGTGTAGCGGTAGAATGTTCTAAAAACATCATTTCCTCACCGATTTCGTTCAAATTTGAAATATATGTTAATCATTACATATAAAAACAATAAACGATTGCAAAAGTCTAGATTTGTATTTTTGAAAATTATCGTGCAAACAGAGATTCGAAACCCTGTCGCCTGGAATGTCGTTTTGAAGGTGAAATGTATCAGTGAGAGAGAACAAGTTCTGTGTTTCATGTATGTGCCTGGAGTAACGTGTACGTGCGTGCTAGAAAGGACTTCTTTTTAAAGGTATTCCAGTAATGTATGTTCGAGGAAGGCCCAAAGTGAATCTTACTTCACTCTGTCAAATATGTTTTTACAGATAGAATAGTAATTCTAATAACTCTGACTATATTTCATTCTTGAAGAATGTGAATCATATTTCGCTTTAGGAACATATTTGGGGAACGGTTGTCTATATTTTTGTATTAAACGTCCATGGTATATCAATCTAGGGAAGACGTTTTGTGTTGATGAAATAACAGAGGGAAGTCGCCGTGGGACGCGACTGACCTGGGCCATTGTTTATGATTGTGAATACAGATGCCGCATTGCTGATTGTTTCATGAAACAATACGCATTCTGAGTGTCTGTATCTTTCTCCAAGTATAGTCTTCAGACTACACAGCTATGTTTGTAAGCATGGGTGTGAGCAATATTCCAGCAATATCACGGCGGGGGACACCAGAAATTGGCTTCACACATTGTACCCATGTGGGGAATCGAACCCGGGTCTTTGGCGTGACGAGCGAACGCTTTAACCACTAGGCTACCCCACCGCCCTAAAATTGTACTGCCTAGAAGCTTTACTGAGGTCTTGTAGTCCGTATACATGATCAAACAGCATTTTGAGCAAAAATCTTTTGTAGCTCTTATGTCCATGGTGTGTTGGATTGTATCTCTAAGTTGTGAAATGTAGACGCCAAAGGCTTCGGTTACTGGAACATTGCTCTCAAAAGGGAAGGTTGTCTCACAGTCGTGTTTTGTCACCCTGAATCTCTATCTAATATGAACTGATCAATCACTTAATAATAATGGACATGCATGAAGCGTCTGTATCCACGCACTTGTGCATGGCTCAAGGCCCTAAGACATTATTACCCTGGTTCACCCAAGCTGCTAGTGAGGTGCTACAAGGTTAAGAGTCATACGACTTATCCCATCGGGTACCAATTCACCGCTTGGTGAACAGAGGCAATTTTGAACAAACTCGCTTGCGTAAGGTGAGACAACATGTGTGGCGTGTGCCTTAATGGCATTAATGGGTACAACAGGGACTGGTCGGCTCGGAGTCAGTATAATGTGTCTAAGTGGGGTATTCATGCTTCACTGCGGCATGGTATCTCAGTGGGCTAGCACTATAAAACCAGCTTAAGTCTGGGCTAGTACAAGCAGCCGCACATACACATACACACGCATGCACGTCGTCATATGAGCGAAATATTCTCAAGCACGACGTAAAACCCAATTTCACCTCACCTCTATGCACAAGACCACACACCACCACTGAACTGCTCGGTTAGTTTCTCATGTGGGTTAATCAGTGGAAGGAGTTGGCTGTATGTAGATGAATGACTGTATGCCAGTCATTACCAACACGTCATCGTGTGGTTGAATGAGTATACATACATCAGGCAACACCGTGACTGCTTCAAATCACTGAATAATTGCATGTCACTCAATAGTACTACACCGGCATGTGATCTGTACGTCTGGCAATACCCTCACATCTACATGTAAATACAGGGTTTGTACTTCTCAAAGTTTGCTAAAGATCAAGATTTGATGACATCCCACAGAAAAGGGTGAAATATCACGTTACACAATGATTAGATAACCCCTACAGGACCTCAGTTTCAGGACCGTGGCGGGCTGTCATCAGCACGTGGTGCACGGGCTGTTTGATTATACTGTGACAGAATTGTTGTACATCATTATCAGAGAGCACAACTTTGAACAGTATACATTCAGCTGATTCTTCCCTTTCTTGCTTTACACGGGCAAATTTACCATCCTTCAGAAGCTGTCAGCTTGTTGCCGCTCAAATCACTGGTGCATAACCTTTCATTAGGCTACCCTGCAGACGAAACGAACTGAAGGCGAAGGGGCGCTTCCTTCTAAATGTTCAGTTTGTCGTCACAAGACCGTGTTATTGTGATGCCTACGAACCGTATCATCACACTGTTAGGAAGAAAGCATCCTATTTATATTTGTAAAGGTACAAGGAAGTGCTAGTCTTGGGTCGACGTCTGTGGTTGTCAATTTCATGTCGCCGTGTCAGTGTGTGTAGTACTGGTCGATGTCCTTCAAGTTACAGCGGATCTCTACCAGTCTGTGAATAACCTCGTACAGTAACCTACTGACCTACTACACGTCAGTGTTGTGGGCATTTACGTATCGTGATCTCAGAACAAAGTTCTTACCTTACCTCGCTTTCGGAGAACATGGCGAACTTCGACGATATTTTACGACATCTTGGGGAGTTCGGCAGGTACCAGAAATGGGTGTACTTCCTGTTGTGCCTCCCAGCTATTCCCCATGGGGTCCGGATGATGATCAATGTTTACCTTCTCAATGTCCCCGACCACAGGTAAGGGGTTTTCTCAAAAAGACAAATATAATCGTGTATGTTAATATCAGTGAATTCCACCTTGTATTCATTTGACAAGTATTTCATTCTATAGACTTAATTTAAATGAATTACAACAACGTGAATTCAAATTTGTTAAAGGTCACATGCAACCAAAAAATCAAACATAATTAAAACACAATTATCACTTCTTCATGACATATAATATGCATTGCTGATTATGAAAAAACAAATAAACACAATTATAAGCGTATAATCGCAAATCAAAAGTGCAATATTTTGTACTTGGGTTTACCTCCCTCGAAACGAAGCAGCCGGGATACCGAACCCAGTCAGAGCGGGTGGGTGTGCACTCAAGTGTAACGGCTGGTTCATTTGCAGATGCCGCCCTCATGCACGGCTCATTGTGTGTGTATATATAGAGATGTTGGGTTTTGTAAATACATGCTCATTTTTTTGTGTATAACATTTTGCAATCAACAGACATCATAACATGTCATGTGTTCAAGTATCACACCTGCCTGTCTGTGTAATTACATAATGTGACAGAGACCGAACTCGGGCCATAAATCAATGCGTTTTGTTTATGGTGTATAGCCTGATAGGTGTTAAGTTCAAATTGCATGTGGTCAGTGATAGCAGCTGTGTATTGAATATTGTCATTAGCAGACAGGCAGGCAGACACACAGGTGTCAATAAAACAAGACATTGAGTTTTGTCTGTGACGACATATCTATATCACAGTTAGAAATTCTGTCAACGCTAAATAATGACATTGCTTTTAAGTATCGAACTGAGAAAGTGTCTCGGTAAGAAGAACGTGAGGTGAAATAGACAAATGAAATTATATAAACAGTTAATTTACTGTCATAACATATAAAAAAGCTCGCGCCTGTGAGATATCAACATAACATTAGAAAAATAGCTCACACCAAAGCCTTCACCGAGTATTCACCCGACAACCCGCTTCCAAGCTGCGCGAACCTATTTACTTGCGCACGTGCTATGAGCGCAGCCCAGCTGTTGAAACCCGTTTTCCCCAGAAAAGTCTGGGGAAAATTAGTGAATCGTTTGAACTCCGATTTCACGCGTTTTTTTTCATTGCGTTATTTTTCAACTTTATAAGTTGAATTTGCATTTTTGACGATTTGTTTCGGTATGTCCATACCGAAAGGTATCAGAATCTGCAAAGTTGTGTTTTACGTTGCATGTGACCTTTAATGTTAACTTGTCGGATTTTCTGTGAGTTGTGGTTCACTAATATTAAATAGTGTTTTCTTCACTAAAGAGAATGATCAACTTGTTACATCATCTCAAGTGAGAATTGATCTTCACCATCCCGTCCTTGTCGTAAGAGGCGACTAACGGGATCGGGTGGTCAGGCTCGCTGACTTAATTGACACATGTCATCGTATCCCAGTGGCGTAGATTTATGTTCATGGTGTTGATCATTGGATTGTCTGGTCCAGACTCGATTATTTCCAGGCCGCCGCCACATAGCTGGAATATTGCTGGGTCCGGCGTAAAACAAACTCACTCACTCATCAAGTGAACTAAAACTCGAACTTCAAATATCTCACTTTATCATAAAATACACATTTTTATCAGTTTATCAATCTGATAAAAAACATTTCACACTAACTTATACAGGGATTTACCTGTATTTGAGGGTCCCTGGGACTCATACTCTTTATTTTCAGGGCACCTGGACAACAAAATTGGGGTCCCAGACACTTAAATATACTAGCCACATAAAGAAACTGTGCTTTGTCAAAACATTATCCCAGTGGATAAGTACGATAACAATGTCAAAGGTACATATAAACTTTAATGGAGGGATGATGAGACCATAACAAGTCGGGAGAATTTCAATTGAAAAGTAAATCACAATGACGTCACGAGTCCACAAGCGGGACAGGGGTCAAACGGTCATGTCACAAGCTCAATAACGGGTATGTCCACCGTCGGCATTGAGAACAGCAGTGCATCGACGACGCATAGAGCCTATCAAACGTGCAAGGAAGGCTTGTGGGATGTCACGCCAGATTTTCTCAAGTTCTGTTGCAAGGTCAAGGACGTTATCTGGTGGATGAGGAAGACGGCGTAGACGTCGATCCATCTCGTCCCAAACATGCTCTATCGGGGAGAGATCCGGTGAATTTGCAGGCCAAGGCAGTAAGTCAACGTTGTGGTGTTGCAAGAAATCCATAGCAACCCTTGCCGTATGAGGGCGGGCATTGACCTGTAGGAATGTTAACCCAGGGCCATGACGTTGCAGAAAAGGAATTGCCACAGGTCGAAGAATCTGATCCCTGTAGCCCACACCAGTTAAGTTGCCCTGAACAATCACCAAAGGAGTTCTTTGGCGTGCTGTTATTCCACCCAAAATCATCACAGAACCACCACCAAAGCGATTCCACTCCAAGACACAGGCCTGTGCATAACGTTCTCCCACGCATCTATAGGCACGTTGACGTCCATCACTATGGGAAATGTTAAACCTGGACTCATCTGTAAAAAACAACATTTCTCCACCAAAACAAGGGTCTGCGGACATGATTTCGGCACCACATTCGGCGAGCTTGTCGATGACGTTGTGTCAGGATAGGCCGTATGGCGGGACGTCGTGGTCTGATCCCGTGATGACGTAAACGTTGTCGAACTGTGTTGGGGTGGATACGGCGAAGTCCTGGGATGGTTCGGGCAGTCATCACTGCAGTCTGAAACCTGTGGCGAAGATGGGTCACCCTTATCCATCTGTCCTGTCTTGGCGTTGTTACACACGTGGACGTCCAGAACGTGGCCGATCGATGACGTCATTTGTCTTCTGGTGGCGTCTCACCAGTGCAGAAATGGTGTTCCGGTGGCAGTGGAAATGTGCAGCCACTTGTCGTTGAGACATTCCTTCACGGACCATCCCAATGGCCTCATGACGTTGTGCAGACGTGAGCCTTGGCATGCTATGCGTTTCAATAGCCGTTTAATTTTTTGAACGATCGCAAGGGCAGGGGTTGAGCTTTCCAAAGTGACAGTATTGTGTGGCATTCATTTATTCTGTTTCTCTTTCCCGGAATGCACGTGCAACAACGTATTGCACGTCTCAAGGACGAACCCACTAACGTCACGGAACGTGGCACGTGCATGCATGTTGGATACATGTCACTAATCTCTGAGTTTAAATCCTTATGTGTCTACACAGGTTTGATAAATTTTAAATTTTTGTATGCACAGTTTCTTTATGTGCCTGGTATATTATAATAATTATAAATACTGTTATTGTATTGTGTATCATCATCATCACATTGTTACAGTAATTAATAAATAATAATAAATAATACCAATACCATAACCCAGCTGGTAGCACAGTCAGTGATAATTTATTGTCACTTGATAAGAATTTTTACAAAAGGTATTTGGACTTTTTCTGAGTCCCTGTGGACGCGCTATAAAATTTCGTTGCGTCCATTGTCAATTTTTATGCGTATAGGACGCAGGAATTCGCGTCCTGTAAATCCCTGAATTATATCACAATCAGTAAAATAGGTAAATGTCACCTAGGAGAAGTTTCCTTTTGTAAGCTTTATACTTAGATTGAATGTCTAGAGTGATATCTTGTAATGATAGTGTACTAGTGTTAGATAAAGCGCTGTGATACTCAAGTAGTTTTAGTCCTTCGATGACAGATTTTTTATGTTCTAACTTAATTGATTTTAATGTTGATATAAATTAAATTGTACTCGTCACGATATGGCTGTAATATTGCCGATGTGATGTTAAATATTAACTCACTCACTCACTTAGATTGAAGACAAACTTGCATAAAAGCCCACTGCTTAACATTCAAAGGTTCAGATAGACATTTTCTGAGTGGGAATGCTTATGTGAATAGACATGCCTGAAACCATTGTATCATTGAATCACTGAACTGTATAATAAATGGTGCAGTTCACTCTGCTGTATCTAAACATAATTAACAGGTAAACAAGTATTAAGTTCAATAATTTCAACCATGACATCATCTCAAAGAGATTATTATCCTCGTATGTTTCCATCTCGTATGTAAACATATTAGGAATGAAAATGTATTTTGCTCCACTCAGACCCGTCAAATGTAATGTAAATGTATTCCTGATATACGGTATCAATGATATGGAAACACATTATGCAACTGTTCATATGTTTCATTAATCTCAGGATAAGGTTTTTCTGTATGTAAACGAGGAGTTGAATATTACGTGTCTGATGAAACCTGCACAAGGTTTGATGAAAATGTTATCTGCAGATGTTACCAAAATACGTGCAACATAAATTACCGATGAAACTATAATTTATTGAACATATTTCCGATTATGCGTACCGACCTTCAAAGCGTTCGTAACGTTACGACCTGTCGTAACTCTATAGTTTATCAAATCACAACGAACGCTTTGTGGAACAGGGGCGGTGGGGTAGCCTAGTGGTTAAGGCGTTCGCTCGTCACGCCGAAGACCCGGGTTCGATTCCCCAAATGAGTACAATGTGTTAAGCCCATTTCTGGTGTCCCCGCCGTGATATTGCTGGAATATTGCTAAAAGCGGCGTAAACCCAAACTCACTCACTCACTCACTTTGTGGAACAGGACCTTTTTTATATCTTATTTGAACAAAGAATATTTGATAGACACATGGAAGCGTTAAAATGAATATGTTTTTATTTGTGGTATGAAAATCTTTACTCCTCTTGATGAAGGAGAAAACACATAGCCTAACACATTGAAAATAACCCGATTTGTTCCCGAAAATACTGGAAGAAAGTAATTCTTCTTTGACAGTGAGTAATAGTACATGCTTATAATATAATCGAAATTGTTCAATGTTTCTTTGACAGAAAATTCTCATTAAATAATGGAAAGGGTTTTGTCGCTTGTATGGTTTTCTACTTCGGCGTTTGAATACCAAATAGAAAATCAAGCTGTCACTTTTCATATTTCCATCTGGGATTTTAAGTTTATTACTAAATAC